GAGTTTCATTCACATCATTTTATTTTAATAGATCTCTATCATATACATACAGTACAATATGCTCAAGACAGATTTTATGGCACATCCATTATTGTTGTACATTTTGCAGTCGCTGGTATTGCTGTGAGGTTACAGTAAAGTGACCGTTTGAATCTCTTACGTAGGTAGATAGAACAGGTGGCTTGACCTCGGTGGGTTAGGAGTAAGGTTGCTACAGCAAAACACATGCACTGTCAAGTTAAATATTCCACTAGGGGTGGGTCACACATCCATTTACACAGACCGACACTTGAAGGGGCGGTGTTGTTATGTTCTGTTCAAAACCCCTCAGTTGTTGTTGTTGTTGTTGTTGTCTTGGAATATGCTACAACAGTGGCTACTGTGATTCTGGAAAGCTACGGGATGTACACGGTTTGGGTTCCACCCAGCACACAAGCATGAACTGAGGGCCGCTTTGAATTAAAAAAAACTGCACGTTTAGTTATTGTTTTGCGCGTCAGTGTCGAGATTTGAACTCTTTTTCAGCCATCGAAGACCTTCCAGCTCTGGGTTCGACCGAAACCGTGGATATCCAGTAGGTATGAAGAATAATGGTGGATAAGGATCTAGTATTCAGGTTTCTACTGCAATACAACTTTACCGTTCATACTACGGGTACAGAGTACTGCTAGGTTATTCACATATGTACACATTCTGCCGTTCAACTGCAGAGGCTTGACAAGTGAGTGTGCGTTTTCTTTCTGCAGAGCATGTTCAAGATAGAAAAATAAAACAGTGATAGACTACAAAATATTGTGTGCCACCATCACGCTGAAGTACTGCCGTCCATTTTCACCCTGTATTTGTCCTCATTTAAATGAAAACACAGTCACAACTTAACTCTTTCAGTCAGAATTTAAAAAAAGATAAAATGATTATTTAAAAAAAATAATTTAAAAATTATGATATTAAAAACAGCATCAAAGTACAACGGAAAAAAAACAAACAAACAATATGTAACATGATATTAAAAACTCAACTTTACCATCAGTTTCTTAGAGTGATGTAGCAGTGAGAGTTGTGTACATACAGTATACTGTATATAACTGTGTAAAAGCAGGGCTGAGAGCACCTCCTGTGTCTGTTTCCATTGTTAATGTCTCTTGTTTGAATACACCAGCAGGCTAAAATGTCCCCTTAGTGTTCTGTTTGATCTGCTGAAAGTGCTTCACAGACTTGGCGTTGCACCCAGTCTCCTCCGTGGAGATTTTTCGTGTCTCTAAATGTGCAATTTTGGCATTTGGCCTTCTAACAGTTATCCACCGTTAAGCATTAAACAAAAGAAAACAGCAAAACCGCAACAAACAAAAAAAAACACAAACCTGAATTCATGAGCCAGTGGTGACATAACTGAAATGAAAGCAGGATAATAAGGGATGTATGAATGTGAGTGGAGGAGTGTGGAGGAGCAGCAGCCGATGGAGCTGCTGCCTCCGCTTTAGATGACCTGGCAGCAGCTGTGTGGGGTGGGGGTGCAGAGCAGACCCTCCTTGGGGCTCCGGTGGATGTTGACGGACAGAGTTTTGTCGCTCAGAGGCATCTGCAGCACACGGTTCTTCATATTCCTGTGGTTTTCCCTGGCCAGGTCCAGCTCTCCCAGCCTCAAGGTGCCCGAGCAGGGACCCTCCAGCAGTGGGTCTGCCAGAGCATCTCCCAGCGGCGGCTGCTGGTAAAGGTTCCCCCTGGGCGAAGGGCCACCCAAGAGTGAGACCTTATCCAAGCTGCCAGTGGAGCCACCCATACACATCCTCCACATGGGGCGGTCCTGTGAGTCCCCACCGACACCACCGCTGCCGCCGCCACCACCTCCACCTCCACCTCCTGTCAGGTTGTGGAACTGAGAGCTCAGGCACAGGCTCATCAGCTTTAGGCTTTCCACCAGGCCGCTGGCAGCTTTGGCTGTGCCCTTACCTTGGCCTGACCCTGATCCAGGACTGGCACAGTTGGAGGGACTGCCTTGTCCTGCCCCTTTCTTCTCTCTGCCCTCTTTCCTCCCTTCTCTTTCATCCCCTTGTCCATCTACAGTTACTGTATCTGGTTTAAAGTGACTTTCTGTGTCATCATCACTAGTCTCTGAGCTCGGAGTGAAAGTGGCAACTGGAGCTGTTACACCAACAGTGTTGGGTGATGACATGAGCGTTGAAGGTGATGGTATCCTAGAGTTCAGATTGAGGCTGAGGCTCGGTTTGGGTGGACCAAGTCCATGCAGCTCCCTCCTCTCGTCCTCTTCCTCATCCTCTTTATCCTCCTCATGGATCTGGTTAAGAACCGGAGCACTCATTCGTGATGTCAGTCGATTACCCGAAGATGATGATGAGGAGGCTTTGCAACGAAGCACCACCTGAGCAGGCAGTGTGGAGGAGGACAAACATTTGTCTTCTGCCCCGTCCTCTTCCTCATCCTCTTCCACACTGAAAAGACTGGGACTGCGAGGTTTGCAAGGGCCCACTGAGGCCAGAGAGCCCAGCCTGAGGGGGTTGGAGAGGGGCTTTGGCAGAGACCTGAGCCCCCTCTCCTGGTTCTGTCTGCCAGGCTGCTGCTGGCTGGATGCTGGAGTGAGGTTCTCCTGTCGCTGGGTGAGGTCCAGCAGAGCTGTTTTGGGCCTCGGGCCTTTGTGGAGGCTTTCAGCACTTCGAGCAGGGGACTGGGGCCCCCCAGGGTGGGAGATAGTTGGACCCCCCAAACCATCACTGACATCTTGGTGAACATCCACTCTGGTGGGCCAAGACTGCCTGTGAAGGGTTAAACACAGGGTTTAATTGTTTGAACAGAATTAGCAAAAGTGTATATTCATGAAACTATTCAGTTGAATGGTGACAAAGGAGCCACTTCAAAATGTTGGGTTTTACTCTCCCTCTAAGAGAAATGATGATACTTTCTTTTTAAAACTGAGTGAATGTAATGTAATGTTCACATTAAGACTGGAAGCAGAAAGAAACAGAAAAAAAGAAGCAGAAAAACACAGCAAACAGCACTAATGTAGCTTATTAACAAACACATTTTATAACAAATAAATAATTAACTCCAATAAAAAAAAAAAACACACAAATTGAGCCAGTTAAGCAAGTAGCCTTATTTCTTGTTTCTTCTTTAGGCAAAACTAAGCTAACTCTCTGTACTCTGTTTAATCCGTACACAACCCAGAATGTGAAAACGTAGCATAAATTAGTGATCTTAAGCTGCTGGTTGGTGATATTTTATCCTCTGGGCACATCCAGGCCTACTGTTCTCCATTGTTCCCACTGTCTAAGCTAAGCTAACTGGCTGCTAGCGTCTTATTTACTATAACAACATGAGATATCAATTTCCCCAACTCTCAGAAAGAATGAATAAATGTATTTCCCAGAATTTTTGAATTATTCCTATCACTTGCGGTAACATACACATTTTATATCCTCTATTAAAATAAATCCCACATTTGAATAAGAATGTTAAGGGAAAACACAGCTAATATTTAATTCCATTCAGGTAGATGAATTTAAGAGCAATGTCTTTTTTTTGCAAGGAAACTGAGATTTCAGAGCACATGAGCATGCCAACATTACTGGATATGAACTTAAACAGAGACCTCCTGGGCCGCTTTATAGTCTCCTGTGTCCTGGAATATAGAACGTAAAACGGAGTATTTACCAGCCACCATAGCATAGTTGGTAGTTTCACCATGTGAGACTGCATCATAATGAGAAAATACGGTGCTGGAAACACCCACTGCAACGGAAACTACCACAATGGTGGCTTTGAATACCTCAGCAGGGGTTGTAATTATTCACGGTCTGGACGTATTATAGCAACAGGCGATTTACAGCTATCTGGGGATGAATGATAAGCAGCTATCTATTGTAATCTTTAGTGTTGATTTTGAATATGGATTTGGAGCCTGTGTTTCCGTTGCATTGCATCGTAACACCTATACTTACTGACAACAGTGGCGTTTAGGCTGGAAAGAGTTTCGCATAGCCAGATCATTGTCATTCTGCTGTAAGGGGGGAAAAAGGTCTGGCTTCTTCAGTGCTAAGCCCAGGATGCAGTGATGGTGCCCCTCGCAGAATAACATTTACATGCATGGAGGTGTCCAGCAAATGGTGCGAAAAACAAACAAACAGGGTTGTCTTGACCCAAATCTTAGGAAAAACTTGCCATTTTCAGTGCAGTGTGTTGCTGCTCCGAGGTTGTTGTTTCCCATAGCACGAGAGATTTTGAAAATGGTAACACGCATACTGGAAGGCGATAAGAAAGCCATGTAAAATGCACCGCAGAAATGGCAAGTTTGGATCCAAAGTTCAGATCCGGTTAGTCAGAGTACGTTTCCTTACATAACGATCAGGGCCTTTATTTACCTCAGCTGCAGGATAAGTTTTTATTTGAAGCTGGTTTGTATTATTCTAATTTCCTCTGTTTAATTATTGTAATAGGTCCTATTTTAGTACAAAGCTTCATTCAGAGCTGCTCCTGTTCACCCTGTTAAAGTTACTGCATTATGTTGTTAAAACAAGCTTTTAAAACTGTTAGCCCTCTAGCGTTTCAGTGGACAGAAATCCTTATTTTCTTAACTGGGTTTTTACTCGCTGGCATATTACATGCGACAATAGCCATTAGAATAAATGAACACGTTATATGACAAGCACCATAAGTAGTTTGTTCCCCAGCTTATATATGGAGGCCTTTATTAGTTGAGTATCTGTATATCTGGAGACAAAACCCTGAATGAAATCCTCTTTTATTCTTTGTACAAGTGAATTAACCTGCCGCTGCAGTGACATAACTTTATATATTTTTAGGTAGCCTGCTTTATAAATATTCTCACATCTCCTCATTTTTCTTCACTTTCACTCTCTCAGGCGAGGAAATATACAGCAAGTTGTTTGCTGTTGCTTATTTCAAGATATTTTTGGTAGTACATCCCTGACAGTGTTGCTGATCTGCAGCCTCTCTTCTATTCTCGGTCTGTCCTTCATTCCCTGCTGGAAAAAAAAAAGGGCTCCATCTGTCCATCTGCTGTCAAACTTGTTTTTTGGAGATTGACAGTACGCAACACTGCAGAGGCAGCACTCTTGTCTGTCTCAAGAAATGTTTGTGTGCGTGTTGGCATGTGTGTGTACCTGAACTGGGCCTTGCTCGGACTGGGAGATCGCGTCTGGCTGTGTTGCTCCTTCTCATGTCTCTCCCTCAGCATCCTCTCAGCCAGCAGAAAGTAGGTAGCTGTAATGTGGTTGTACTGGTTGGACTCTAGAGCCCTGAAAAAGATAAGAGAGATACATCAGCTTGAATTCCAAAACAGCCAAACACCTCTATCATCACGTAGATCGGCAGCAAATCCCGAACGTGACTCAGAAGTAAGTGATGGCAGTGGAGATTTAATTTGACATGGCAACAGCTCAGGATTGACTGCCAGCTGGCTGTTAATGGCAATTAAACTGTTGACGACACTCAATTAAGCCTCGGTAGGACGAGTGAACCGTGACGAATTTTTGGAGATTACACGGGAAAGAATAGCTGCATGTTAATTTATGTAAGTATGTGTTTGTGTGCGCCACAGCGACACGTACTCAGTTATGGCGTCTCTGTCTGCGATGCCCCCCAACACCATGCGTTGAATAATGGAGCCGTGCTCCTCCTCAGACAAGCTGCGATGGGACACCAGAGGAGTGGACAGCTTGGTGGCCGGGGAGGGGTCCACACCTTGAAGCCACTGGTGGCCCTCAATCTGCTCTAGGGTCGCCCGTTTCTTGGGGTCCCTCTGCAGCATATGGCCTATAAGACTGGAGGGAGTCACAGTGGAGATTAGAAATATGAATGTGCTGGAGAAAAAAAAACAAGAAAACTCTGGTCTTTGCTGAAGGCATATGCAGACACACGATCAGTTCATTTAGCATTTGGTGTAATATCAGAAACAAGGTTTTCCGCTACAGGATCATTCCATTTTATTACAACTTGGGTCCTGTTTTTGTAGTTTTGCCCGTCTTACTTATCTGTAACAATAAAGCTGTACTCACTTACCTGATTTCTAACTTTCTAAACTCGGCAACGTTGCTAAAAAAAAAATGGCTCAAACAATATGGAAAATTCCTATTTGTAAGATAAAACAGAGTTGAAAAGTAAAATCATTAGCCAGGTTTAGACAAACCTCATGAAACCTGGCCATTGTGAACGGCTGTTACCAAACTGCGATTAAGTTTTGGTTTTACTTCCAAATAAAATGGCTCTCACTGAATACAATGACTGGCAGAAATAATGGCCACAAAATGCCCACGAAAAGAAAATAAAGCTGCAACAAAACAGAATTATCATAATGGATGTGCTTTACACCTACACAGACAGGACGGAGCGCATGAGCTGGTAGCCACACTAATGAATGAGTCAGTGATTATGAAGTATTGACTGATGCCAATCAGCACTGTTCTGCCTCTTTAAAAGACGGCCAAACACCACAAAACTACGACTAAAGTTGTTGTCATTTTGCTCAGTTTAATCAGTGTGCAGATTTTTTGTTAACATACCTTTTGACTGATCAAAAACTATGCATCACATGGGTTTAAATATACAGTACACTAAAGTAGTGAGTACAGCCCATGTGTGATATCACTTGTATGTCAAATGATTCAAACTGTAACGCCTCTCAATGATTGCATTACTTCTAAGTTGAAAGACGGTGTATTTGTTGCTAAGTAAAATGATTTACTACATGAGGAATATTGGCCCCACAGTAGGAACTCAATGCAACAACAGTCAGTACACCGTTCATTACTGAGATTCAAATCTTTTATCTTTTCTGTACGTCATACGTATGTCCACTAGTATTTTTGAGGGTAGACTCCTCAAGGAGAACTAAGGAGATGTTCTGCCATTCTTCAGAGGCAATGTTTTTTTTTTAGCTGTACCTTGCTGAAGTGTTGCTTTAGTTTTCTCTTTGAACCACAACAAATAGTGTTCTACTGAATCCAAGTCAGGAGACATCTTTGGTCAATAACTTGTATCTTATCCCTGCACGGGGACAGCATCACAACCTTCATTTTTAAAATGCATAAACAGACAGGGAAGGCATGATCTGTTTAAAGTTATAGTTGTTGCAGCCATACAACATAGTAAATATGCAGGAACCTCTTAGCAAAACAGGGAAGTATGAATTTAAGCCAAACTTAAGCCCAGAATCAGGTAAGAGCACAAACAACAACTTACAGCTACATCTCTGACTCAGGCGTGGAGATAATCACTGTCAACCACCTTGTTAAGTTATGAATTTGTTGAGTGCAGATGTCAGATTGTTCACTATCCTCTGCTTGTACCGCCTGACTACTGCTGCAACTGTGTTTTGACAGATGTTTAGTTGGTCAACAATCTTCCTGTATCCTTTTACATCTTTATGCAATCTCACAATCAGATTTTTCCACTTTTCTGGCAATTCTTTTCCATGTGGAGCCATGATGTAAACATACACAGCTTATAGGTCCAAAACCGAGTTCTGGTGTTCACAGCTCATTTTACAGATGTGCTCATGCAGTTAGGCCGATTGGAAATCACAGGTGTGTTCAGTTTGATTTCACTGAAGACAGCTTTTCTAACTCGTGTGTCAGGGACCTCATGTTTGTTCACTTTACTGGTTCCTGTATTTACAATATAGCCTTTCTAAAGTTTTACTCTGTGGTTGTTCATAACGGAAAATATCCATACTGTCAACAAATCAAAGGGTGATATACTTGAGATTTTTTTATACTTGAGACTTATTTTCTTTCAGCTCTCAGCAGCCCAGATCCAAAAGCAAACCCAACCCAGGCCTGTATACAAGTTATCACCACTAAGCATTTGTTTTATTTTTATTTTTTTAACTCAGGCTCAGCATGCGTCACCAGCTAAATCATTCACACAAAAAGGAAGAAGCACCGTTTCCTCAAGGCCACATGGGCAATAGATTGGTGTGAGGGTTCAAATAAACAACCCATGAGCCAGGAAATGTGCCAATATTTGAAGTACTGCGTGAAAGTCAACACAACCTTTTGAAGCCATGTCCGAAAACAATATGTGCTTTACGACCAATCAAAATGTATTCAGCGACTGTTTTGGCCCCGCTCTGCTTTGACGCATTGTTAAACCCTCACAATGTTAAAAATAGAAGGCCGGTTTTAAAGGGTGCATTAGATACACTCAACGCAGCACTGCATCTCTGGCGGAGCAGCTGACTGCAGCACTGAGTGAAAGCAGGACAACGAAGAGAGACCGCTCGCTCTCTCTCTCTCGCTGCTCTTTTCCTCACACATCTATAAACATGAAATATGCAGCACCTGCAGAGTACTCCGTCCATCTGTGTGGCTCTGTGCATGTTACTCACTCTCTGCATGCAGTGGAGATGTGTGGAGGAACGGTGTATTTGCAGTCCATGATCATAGTGAGCGTCTCACTGTCGTTAGCCTCCTGAAAGGGGGGCTGACCACAGACCAGCATGAACAGGATCACCCCCAGACTCCAGATATCTGCAGAGACAAAAAATGTAGTTTGTTCAGACGTTGTGTTCAGAAAAAAATGACAGCAAAGTGTGATTCTTTAAAGGAAGATGGCCACAGAAATGAAAAAAATAAAGATGACTGCTCAGCAAAGTGAAGCACGTATGTCCTCTCTGCTTAGTGACCTAGATATATTACAAAAAACACAAGAACTGTCCTCCCCCCAGTTCAAATGAAGCATGAATCATATTCGATCAGAGCCCATTTCCATAAATATGTACTAGCTTAGGACACATCTGTCTAACCAAGGATGAGGCTCTGCACTGCAGCCCGCCGCCAGCATCATGCTCGCACATAAACACGCCTGCGTGCACTCCCACACGCGCACGGGCCGGCAACAGAAAAGTGGGTTAACGTGTTCATCCGTCAGGGCTTCGCACAAATGCTAATTTTATGGAACAGTTCTCCTGGTCCGATTAGCCGTTTTTTAAAAGAGCAACTTTCTGCTCGGGGCCTTCACAGCTGCTCTGGTCAGCAGGATGGTCCACTGACACACATTCGGCAGTCATATACTCACTACGACAGGAACAGAAACGCACACAACCAGCGTCTTAGTCAGTGTTTTGACCCCCTTTTTTTTTTTTTAAAGCAAAAGTCAGCTGATTCACAGTGGGCCTTTTCTACTTTAAAGATACGACGAAATAAAAAAAATACATCAGCATGAGTCCTTGCGTTAATTCTTCTTTTATCTCTATAAATGATTGAGATAAATGTGATTTGAGGCTACTACGTAACCTACAACATCGTAGCGGGATATGTGTTTTAGTTAGTTTACATTTTCTCATTTATTCATGTCTTCCACATCCTGATCCAACAATGCCACTGAGGAGGGCGGTGGGCTCTTGTAATTAAATCCCACCCACATATTCCATTTTACTCTGACAGATCTCACATTATAGAAGCACTAACTACCAGCTGACTGTGATTTTTAAGCAGCAACAATGGATTTTTGTCCATTAGCAACAACGGAACAAGCTGTAAACACGTTATCGATGCATCATTGATGGAATACAGTTGCTGTCCGATAATCACTCCCCTATTAGTTCTGTTTTAAGACCTTAATTGCCACAAATCTGGCCCCTTGTCAGCAAAGACTTCCACTGTGTTCAGTGAATACTCTAATGCTTCCTGAATGGCTCCTCAGAAGACTCTTTAAGAGGGTTCTTTCATGCTTATTGGAAAAAAAATGTAGTTACAGGAAATAATATGAACTTCAAGCTGCAGCTGACAAACATGTTTACTTTATGTTTTCAATTAATCAGTTACTCATCAGAAAACAGTGAGCAATTCCCATTACATTTAAAGTTCTTAAAATCAGTGTCTCTATGGCTGTCAAATGCTTTCAGTGTTTCCTAAATTTTCTTTTGGAACACAAGTTAATTAAAGGTTTTAGGGTCTATGTCCCTCTTTACAGAGACTAATTTGGCTAATAAGTCTATAGAACTTAAATGTTTCATATCTTCTTTTTTTCCTGTAACTGAATGAAGCAAAAAGAAGGTCAATACATATGTCACAACTACACTCAGAGCTGCAAGGTGCTGCAGTTGGTAGCACTGTTGCTTCGCAGCAAGAAGGTTGCTGGTTTGCGTCCCGGTGAGGGCACTGGAATCTTTCTGTGTGGAGTTTGCATGTTCTTCCCGTGCAGCGTGGGTTCTCTCCAGCTTCCTCCCATACAGTCCAAAAACATGCTGAGGTTAATTGGTGATTCTAAATTGTCCGTAGGTGTGAATGTGAGTGTGCTTGGTTGTCTGTCTCTAAGTGTAGCCCTGTGATAGACTGGTGACCTGTCCAGGGTGTCCCCTGCCTTCACCCTAAGTTGGCTGGGATAGACTCCAGCCCCCCACATCCCTAGTGAGGATTAAGCGGTGTATAGATAATGGATGGATGGACAACTACATTCATGTACTTGTTTTTTAACCTGAACATAATGATTTAAGATGCTCAATGAAGCATTTATTTTGCAAAATGACCAAAGAACACAAATAACTATCCTGAAAATGGTTCCTTTAAAGACATATGAATAATGATGAATGATGAATAAAGTATTTTTCATTTCATTTCATTTCATTTCATATTTTGGCTAAAGTTCTGCAGAGCACCCTTTTGGATTGGATAGTTCTTTGAGGCACTTTTTTTTTTTTTTTTAAAGGACCGTTTGCTGAAATGACTCTTTAAAGAACCTCTTTGCTTTGTGGAACTAAAAGTTGGTCCTCTATGGCATCACTGCAAAGAATCATTTTCGGTTAAAGTTAGAATGTTTATTTATCTGAGTGTAGTCGTAGATGTTAACTTTGTGTGTTAGCGAGTGTACGAGAAGTTCATCAGGGCTTTGTGAACCACGACCGCCTGCAGCTGGAGGTCGACGAGAGCCGCGAGAAACAATCAAAACAGCTGTGAGCCATAAAATAAAAACAATGAGCTGAGAGACGCTAAGTAAAGACGCAATATTCCTCCACAGACAGGAAGGAAACTGAGAATTCTTAGTGAGTTTATCACTGTGAATGACAGCTTTTATACAGCGCACAGTCACTTGGTGACTGGCGTGTTAAAGTAAAAATCCTGGTTAGCGATTCCTTTTTCCACATTTTTAAGCTTATTTTTAGTTCTGTGTTATTATCGCTGCTGTTCCTTTTCACCACACTTTGCAGAGATCACTGTTTGATCCCACCAAGTAACTGTGTGTCTTCATCCTTTTAGATCAGCAAATAATGATGTTTGTTCTCCCACGGCGCCCGAGGCTGCATAGGCCAAACACCCATCTGTACCTCCAAATATCAAAAACAAGAAAGGCAGAGCAGCAGATGTACCAATTATTACCCGAACCAAAAAAAAACCTGTGCTCTTGGAACTTGGATCAGTTTGAGATGTAAAATGCAGGACAAAAAAAAAAAAGAAAAGAAAAGAAAAAGGAGGTAAACAGAGTCTAAGTGGGTTTGTCATCTTCATAATTCTTCCTCTCGCTTCAGTTTGCCAGGATGCGCTGCAGATTTCAATCTGGTAAATGTTCCAGTTTACTGTGGGTGGCGGGTATTTATTGCTCTGAGGCTGTGAAGGAGTGTTTCATACTGCTGATGGAGGGAACAACTGCTGCTGCAGTCCCCACCACCACCACCACCACCACCACCATCTTACCCCTAGCCAACGTATCCTAGCAACCGCGACCCTGCTCCCTCTTCACTTGCGTCAGCGGTCCGCCAAACTTCCTTCCTCGATAACTTTATTTATAAACCAGATGGCTGACACGTCTGTGGATAAACACTGTTCACGTCACCGCACATTAGCATCACTTGCGCTAACGACGCCGGCTACTTAGTGCCGACAGCTGGAAGTGTAAACATCCCTTTTTGGTGCCCTGCATTGCATTTTAGCACAATTGTTTCCGTAAGATAACCCGTAGCCAGTCCCTCGTGCACTGACACTGTGAACCCTGCGGCCGAGTGGGGCCAAGTTCAGCATCCTGTCCTGCTCATCATTACGCAACATGTCTGTCTAAAAAGAATCTTTCCGTTTGGCCCTGTTCATTATGCACACATATGCTCTGAATTATGCATGTGCCCAGGATATGTTCTTTGTAATTGCTATTAGGTAAGTTATTTTTTTTAAGTGCATCTTGTGCTTCTAGGAGAGGAAATCTAAATTTAACTTTCCATTTACTGAAGACTAAAAGGAGGTAGCCTGCACACTGGAGAACATCAGTAGGAAAAGAAAGCTCTTATTAGTTCATCATCAACTGCTTGGAAAAATCTGTGGTTTCACGTAAGTTGCTTCTTGTTTGATTGTTGCTCTTAAAATGCCTACAGTTTGCTGTAAGTCTGTCAGAGGCTGGAATCAGTGCTGTAAATGAGAGACACTTCACTGCAAACATCCCACAGGAGTTGTTTTGTGCCCTTAAAAGTGGTCCTGATTAAGGCTGAATGAAATGCAAAACAAATGATGGAATTATTTTCAAAGATGCAGCGATATTGCTCACGATTTTAGTCAGAGCGGTAATTTTTGCATTTGTTTTTCCACTGAAACAATCTCAGGTACGACAATGTGTACCAAACAAGCATATTCCCTTATGTCTGGATGACATGATTCGTAGGCCAGACGTTGTGACACATTTTGTCTTTATCAAAAAAAAAATCGCAGCTCTTGAAATTTGGATACTGCACTTGTCTATAAGCGATTTGGCCAATAAATGCAATGAACTGCTCGGCTCTGGTTCTGACTAGAGATGGTTACGACTGAATTTGCAGCAACTATTTGGTTGAGTTGTTCATTGTTATAATAAGATACTTTATTTCCAACTTTAATAATATACTTTATTGTCATCTTATACTGAAATTCATTTAGTACGCAAAGGGCCAACTTTATCACAGAGGTGAATGCACATTTACCCAGCCGTGCTCATTAATAACAATTAAACAAATAATAGTCATTTGGCCACACACTGATCCTGGTTAAGTAGCAGAATAGACTGATGGAAAGGAGTTCTTCAGCCTAACACATTTAAAGCCCCTCAATGGATGTTTTTAACGTTTTGTTTCAGCTGTGGCTGTTCTAAAGCGCTTTATAAATAAAGTTGATTTGATTTTTATCATGAAAATAATCCTTCACGCCTCAAAACTGCTTAGATGTAACTCTGCTGGATAGAGCGGACATATGCAAACCCTGCTTTTCTTTCCAGCCACCACTGCTACTCAGTGCAGTTCACCAGCTCACCTTCAACACTGTGTAATGACTGCAACTGAGCCAAACGTATTCGACCTGATTCTGAAAAATCAGGAGAATAGTGACACAGGAAGTTCCATTCTGCAAGTTGACTGACGCATCGTAGTATTAATGTGGAAATAGTCAGTGGTGGTGTTGGCTCCTTATCATGACATGCACTACAACAATTAAAAGAAACCCTATATGGACATGATACCAGGGTAAAAATACTTGATTTTCACCAGAGGGAGATCTTAAAAAGTCTAAATTGCCTGTTTGCGGGAAGAACTTGTTACTCTCCATTTCACAATTCTTAGAGATCAGAAGAAAAAGTACATTTAGGAATTCTAAGCATGCCTTTGCACTTCTAAAAGAGTATTCTAGAGGTTGGCCAATACGAATTTGGTTATATTCTAAGTTTCACTGACAGGCTGCTAAACCAGGAACAATCTGGCAATTAGCAGCAAAAATTCAAAGCCTACATATAAAGTAAAAAGAAAGAAAGCAAAAGTTCAAAAATTCACCGAATCAAACTATTCAAATGTGACTATTTGCTCATTTTAACACTCCTTTGTGAAAACCAATTAAATATTTCTACTTGTCTTTGGAACTGGGGTAATTTGACCAGCATTTTCACTCTTTTATTGACATTTTTTTTGAAAATTAATCAAGAAATTAAACAACAAATTGCTAATGAAAATGCTTGTTAGCGGCAGCTCTCGCAGTCGGAGAGAAGAAAGATGGAGTCATATTTGTCTGCATGGAAAAGAACATGACACCATTAGTAAATGAAAGCAGCTTTTTTTCGTTTCTATTTTGAAGTTTGGACAGTCGGCTCCTGCTAATTGGCGCCTTCTGCGCAATCTGTAAAACTGACTCCCATTTAATCTCAAATTTCTTTCAGCGCTTCCTCAAAAGAGCACCAAAGTCCAAACAGGCGAGGACAGCCTCTTTATCTCTGCAACAACCTGGGCCGGCCGCCATCTGGCACGTCACCAGAAGAACTCAGCGCCCTGCAGACTGTCAGCGGGTACCTTGGCAGCAAAGTAACGGCAGACCAGGTTACCTCAAAGCCCCGAACGTCAGGGCTGCCGGCCTCCATTTGGCCTGTTCCACATCAGACCGCCGATATTACATCCCGGCCGGGTGGATAATCCCCGCAATCAAAACATCATCATCTCAGCTGACTGAACAATAGCGCACAGGTGGAACAAACACTCCGGAGAGCAGAACACACATGTGCACAGGCAGGCCTTTGCTGCGAGCCTGACCACACACATTCATCTGCTCGCACAACGGAACAAATACACACAGCCACTCTTATTACACCACTTTCAAAGTATGGAAGCTGCTTGGCACGGAAGAGAGAGAGAGCGAAGGCGGACAGAAGGAAATAACCGCTGCACATCCACTCAGTCAGAAAAACTAAAAAATGCTTCTCTCTTGCGCCTGCATTTTTTATTTTTTTCCTGCTTTCGCTCTGACGCAGTGGCCTCTGGGTAAATACGAGGGACTGCTGATGCCTTTTTCTTGCTCTGCTCTGTCGGCCTCTTGTTTCTCTCTTTTTTCCCCCCACCTCTGTCTGTCTGTCTGCACGCTTCTGTTTGATTTCTTTTCCATTACAATTTAATTTAATATCTAAGCTGTGGCTCAGCAAGGATTGGCGCCACTATCGACAGCGATGCTGCTTCAGGTGCTTGGATGCTCCGATCAAAGAAAGAACCAATTTCAGTCTGATCTGATATCAGATTTATGCGCAGAGAGGGCCACGGCTGTCAATGAAAGTCAACTGCGGACAAAAATACACTGCAGGTGTGAGACTGCAGCACCGGGGATCATCTCATTTTCAAGCTGCATGTTGTGAACTTTGAGCAGCTCCCCTCCTTCTATCAGCTGCCTGATAACGCTGCCAAGGCGTCTGCACAGTCCATCCAGAGTACTGTAGATTCCACTGTAGCTATCGTGCTATGTGATATCAGGCGACAAAATGTGTGAAGGTGGCGTTAACAGGCTGATGGAGGACAGTGTGTACCACGATCTGCGGACTGTGACCTGAGACACAGTCCGACTCCGGTAAAGCTAAAAGCTGCACCTGACATAAATCCAGCATCTCCACACTGCATAGCTGTGAACTCCCCTCTCTGACAGGCGTTCAGACTCACCCACAGCGGGAGCGTCGTACTCGTCCCCCAGCAGTATCTCAGGAGCCGAGTAGGCCAGTGAGCCGCAAGAGGTGTTCAATTTTTTCCCAGGCTGAAACCGGTTGCTGAAGCCGAAGTCGGTGAGCTTGACGACGCCCTGTTTCTCGAAGAAAACCACGTTTTCCGGCTTCAGGTCCCTGTGCACCACGTGCAGCCGGTGGCAATAGGAGATGGCGTGGACGATTTGGGCAAAGTAGCACTTGGCCACCTTTTGGAAAGGAGAGACAGAAGTGGTAGTAAGAAATAGTGATTGTGTCAGTTCACTCTCAAGGGTTTTATGGAAATGCAGCCACTTTTCACTACTCTGCTGCCTACTCAGCACAGAAACAGCACACAGGCAGGAACAGTAAAAAATCCATCCAGAGTTGTCCCCAGACTAAACTGGACTTCAGAAACGAAAGTCATTCCATAACTGTGGGATAGTCAAACAATTTAAATGTGTTGACAACTTGTGTCTGCTTCTCCAAGTGCAGAGGTGGAAGAAGTTTTCAGATCTTTTACTGAATTAAAAGTGTCAACAAAGCAACATAAAAACAGTCCATTACAAGTTCAAGTCCTGCCTGAAAACCCAAATAGAAGTACACAAGCAGCAAAACGTAGTTAAAGTATTAAAGTCCTGGTTTGACTCCTCTGACTGATATATTATTATATCTGACGTCACTGGAATAATAGTGAAGCATCAGTGTGTCAGCTAACCACTTTAAATCCAGCTTAAATACAGCAGATAAATCTTAAGGCTCATCACATGACTAATAAGGGAGGAAAGAAAAAAACAAAGAGAGTCCTGTTACTGAAATCTTTGCGGCGTTTTTTAGTTGCAGGATTTTTTTTTTTTTTCCTCGAATCTTTAATTTTTGGTGAGATATTGGATCATTTAAACATTTATAGAAATGAAACCATGTGAGAAATTTAGAGGGGAAAAAAATCAGTGATTGGTGAAGCTGCTCACAACTCGTGCACATCTGTGACCCGACTACACACTGATTACTGCAAAAAGCCAAGTTGCATTTTAGGAGCTTGTTATACGATCTATTATGTAAAACCTGCATCTTAAAAGTAACTAAAGCTGTCAGACTAAGTAGTGGAGAAGAAGGTATCTTTTTTTTTTTAAAGTGTAGTTTGTACTTTGGCGTTGTAGTTGAGTAAATGTACTTGATTACTTTCCACCACTGCCCAAGCTCAAATTTCAAAAAAATTTAATAAAAAGCCAAGAACTGTTGCAGAGTTTGAGAACGCCTCACTCCCTCCTCAACTCGTAATGTTACAACTTTCAATGTCACACAGTTGCCTCCTGGTGTCTGGAATCTATTAACTTCAAAGAATCTGTATGCGCGATGCCTTGGTGAGCTTCTAACTACCTTTGAACCGTCCTTCACTGCATTCCCACACAGCTTCCTCCACCTTCTCCAGAACAGAAGAAATACACCCTTATTCTATCCCCCAAGACGCTCATCCATCCCAGTAGAATTAGTATTGATATAATACCGCCATTGATCTCTTTACCTGGAGTCCAAGGTCAGCTATAAAAGGGGAACCCTGAGGAGACTTTTTTTCTCTAAGTCGGTCGACAATCGTCTGCCTCCTAAGAGACCGGCATCCAGCTCACCTCTTCACTGAGGCCTCCGTCGTGCTTCATGATGCAGTCGTACATGTCTCCTCCGTCACCCAGCTCCAGGATGAGGTAGAGCTTGGTGGCCGTGTCGATGACCTCGTAGAGTCGCACCACGTTGGGGTGCTGCACCATCTTCATGCATCGCACCTCCTGGAAAAGGTGACCTCGTGCCACCGGGTCCAGTTTAGTCTTGTCTATCACCTTCACAGCGACCTGGAACAGAGGCAGCACCGGTTGGCCAAAAAAAAATTCACCAGAATCTGAAGCTCTGTTTATTGGGAGTTTTGTCGGTGGAGGTGGAGAGAGTCTGGAGTCTTCCTACCATGTACACAGTTCCATTTTTTTAATATCCTGGTTGTCATTAATGCTTGCGTGTCATGACAAGTAAGCAGCCGAAGCAGCAATTTGCATATGTGTAGTGCAGATAACAAAGTTGTTTTATCGAGCAGAAAAAACATCACAGGTATTTGGCAGTTAATCTTGCCATGCTGGAAACGCCTCCAGAAGTGATGTAACATGTCGTTCCCACTCATTCACAAAAGCCAACATCAACGCAACATGTTGCCAAAACAACCCAGTCAGACCTTAGAGACATTAGTCACATGTGTGTTTGTGGTCGCCCTTCTTTGGTATGCGTCTGTTTCTAAATGCGAGGATGAAGTCTTCAGCCGTATGCTGAAACCGGCTGCTTAAATGTGAGCAAACTCAGCCCTTGCGTGTACAGGTGTGAACGTACCTTTTCCCCGGTGAACACGTGGCGGGCCAGTTTGACCACAGCAAAGTGTCCGCGGCCCAGCGTCTTGTCCAGGTCGTACAGCCCGGCAATCTTCCCATCGTGGTGACGTTTGAGCCCTGCCATGGCTGCTGGCGGACGGGGAGGGAGGAGCTGCCTTCTGCCGGTCTTCAGCTGTCAGTTCTCCATCTTAACCCCCTTCCTCGCAGTCGGCTGGAGCTAGTTGGGGTTTGTCGCGTCCGTTGATTCGAGACCAGCTGTGGGTCTTTCTTGATGCTCAGTTCAGCCTCATCTTGTAGCGACAGGAGGGCTGAGAACTGTAAAACACAGGGAATCAGAAATCACCCATTCGCACTGACAATTTAACACTGCAACGGACCGAGTCGCTGCTTTGGAAGTAATGCCGCAGAGTCCTGAACCTGTCTAATGAACCGCTATCCACAAAACCCCCTCGTCCTCTCACCACCACTGTTCATCTCTGGCACCAGCTGGAGGAAGGTCAAATGTTCAGGCCACCGTGTAAACAAAGACAGTAAGCAAAAACAACATCTGGGTGCGTTTTAGGTAATTAGTCCCAATTCACTTGCTAGACAACGAGTTGCTTTGAGGGGTTTTACTGTATCTAGTGGTGCTTTGAGAAAAGTGTTAACGTCAGCATTTGCAGAGTGTTAACATGTCATACCGATACTGATTATTAGTAAACAACGAGATCGATAACCAATACTTGAAACCCATATAGCTATATGCTGTAAGAATAAAAAAAATAAAAAACTTGATGCCAGAATTTAGAATAACACAAACTCCAACACAAAAGTTTGGTAAAAAACACATGAATGATGTACAGAAGTTTAATTAAAGGAACATTTTTCGATATATACCCGTCGGTGTGGCTCAGCTGTTACAGGTAACCAGACATCGCTTGAGGCCACAGACTGACTACAGATAGCGAGAAGCGACGACATCACAAAGTAGCTTATTTTTTTATTCATTTTTGTTTTTTAAATCTGGAATCTGTTGTAAAAGTACCAATAAGTGGAAAAACGTTGGATATTGGATTCAGTAATCAGCAAGGGCAGTCATTCGCTGACCCCTTGTCAAATTCATAGTTTAATGATCGTCACTGAACCCACAGCTCAGACCAGGTGCCTTTTCCTAAACCAAAATATTGGACAAACTGCAATCTTGTCCTACACATAAAGTCAAACTTGCAAAAACTCATCCAGAGAGCGATTTCAGTTCAGGCCAAAGTGCTGGACTGACCCGCCAACTTACACTGACTTACTTTAAGGTATTTTGATTTATTGGCAAAAATCAAAGATATGAAAAGGTCTTTAATATTTATTTGCAAATAAATCAAAATAGAAACTCACACTTTAACGTGTACAACCCAGTTCAACAAATACGCTGATGATGCCACGTCTTATGTGGGTATTTGGATCAATCACTTACATGTTAAAAGTTTCGCTCAGAGTCATGCTGTACAAAACACAACCACATGTAAGAGTTGAGGAGACATTCCTTGCTTTTATTTTACAGACTTCAGTTTAAGGTTGTGTGAAGTTTGCTGGCACAGGGACACAGCTCCGTAGGATAAAGGGCTACAGCATGAGTGTTATTATTATTAGGGCTCCAAATAACCAAGAATTTAAAATATCAGTGAATCTGCTGATTATTTGAACAGGAAATGTTTAATTTAACAACTGGCAATATAAAATCCTGGAACCACCATATTCTCTTGATTAAATTTGTTAACTGATTCATCTCCTATTAAAACTTTTTGCTCAAGTAATTTTATGTTAACTATTTTTTTCCAACTCCAGTTAATTTGCTGCAGCATTTTCACTTGCACTGGTTTCTCAAGTAATTCTCTGCAACATAAACTTTGAAATTTCGTTATTCACATTACTCTGCCCCCGACAGAGCTCAGCTACTCCGCACCACTTCTTTCAAATGCCGCCACGTCTGACCTTCGGCTCCGTTCCGAAGAAGCTGCTCTCGTCATACAGTAACGTTGCTTCACAGGCCTGGTTATGAAACAACGCCTGCAGGGGAGGCATGCCATTCCAATTCCAGGAATCTACCTGCGTGCCGAGCACACAGCAACGACATCAAACACACAATGTGCCCTGCAAAAAAAGAAAAAAAAAAATTCCAGGGCAGTGATCCTCCCCTAGGTGTGTCCCACTCACCTGAATTCACAAAGGCAACAAAAAAACCAAACAGCCGTTGCCAGGGAGCACACCTATGATACAGTACGATGGGGAAAAAAATAACCCAGCAGCAGCAGCAGCAGTCTGTGGTTGTCTAAATGGAACTATGAAAGCCTAAAAAGCTCTTTGGTGTTTTTTTTTTTATGTGATCCTCACATAAGGACTGTACCTGTGAGAAACGAGTGAGTCATTTTCTTATAATAGGAGGCTGACATCTCTATCTGTCTCCCTCTCACACACGAGTAACATCGACTCTGCTGAACTCTTCGCCTCTTTGACACTGACAACATGTAGGTGTTGTTTCAAGAACCAGAAACGGCGACAGGAGACGCACAAACACACACATATACACACACATATACACAGACACGGGGAGCTCTGACACACTCGTCTGATGAGAGCGCGAGATCAGCTGTGGTGTGATGATGAGCTGCTGAGCTGGCCTCGGTCGAATCATCCACGGATGGCTCACTTGCAAGTCTAAGTCTGTGCCTCTTATTCACCTGAAAAGAACGAGCTTAGTGCAAATTAGAGAGCCGGCTAAGCCTCCAGACTCTCTGCGACATGTGCACATACATGCAGCAGCCGTGGGTCTGTTGTGTAACGTGGTCAAGGTGCTGGAGGTGTTATTGATTTACAGGGTAGTAGCATGTGTGTGTGTGTGTGTGTGTGCTCTAACAAGTACACTAACACACATATGAGGTCAAGCATCTGTTATAATAGCTGCTCCACTCTGATAGCCGGGAGATTCAAGATAAGCACAAGAACTGGGGGGAAGGTTGACAAGTCTCTGGTTAACTAGAAAATCAGTTTCCTGGTACATCTGATGGCCCAACTTTGCTCTCAAGCAAACACTTTGAAGATTACAGTAGATCTAATGCTTCAGATACAACCACCCCTGCTTTATGTGCAGCTTTGTTTGTAGCTTGGATTCCACGAGACACAACGAGAGCATCCTTCAAGAACTCCATGTGCGCAACAACACGCAACTACATCCCATTATCTGTGCCTTGCTGTAACACTACAAAGTTGCATCAGTCCCCTACACAGAGCACGTTGGTTCTCCAGCTGGATGTCACGTAGCACCATGTGTATGATGGATATATAATTCAATACGCTGTCGACAAGCTGGAATATCAAGGGATTTGAGCGTTCAAGCTGTTAAATGATCCTACACAGCCCATATGGGATCCCATCCCTCCCCTCCGCTGTCAACATGCCTGCTGGCTGCATCCACAACAACATGACAGTGCAGAGGAGAGGAAGACCATCCTGCGCCAACACATGGGAGCTGTGCGGACACGGGCAGCATGCTGGGAGAAAAAAAACACACACACACACAATCCTGGAGGATGGAGAGGAAAGTGAACACTGAAATCCTACGGAGGCAACTTGACACACATACTGGTAGAGAGGGCCCGCAGCGGCAGGATGCACGCATTCAGTAGCTACTTACCACAGAGGGGTCTGAGAGGCAGCGTCTTATCTGTTCCCGTAAAAGAAAAAAATTAATAAATAATTTTAAAAAAAAGCTGAAGCTGCGGGGCTCCGGTGTGGTGATCTGCGGGTTGAACGAGCCTCAAATCCGCCGCCGTTCACTCAAACGCTCGACTGACAGACAGCAGAAGCGGCCGCAGATTATTCCAATGAGTCCCTGTGTCGATCTGTCACGCTGTCAACTCAGCCGCTGTCTTTCCCTCTCGCTGCTGCGCTCGCAGCTGCGTCAAGCCGGCGCGACTTACACAGCGAGGCCTTCAAAAATAAAAGCACAGACTAGTTTACACATAAGTAAAATGGTCACTCCATTGTGAGGGGGCTTAGTGTCAAAGTGGGCCAAACCACATGTACTAGTTATAGCTGCCCATCGATGGGCAACTACAGAGTAATTGTGCCAGTGTGTTTGTTTTTGTGCGTGCATGTTTATTATAGCTGCAGGGTGGAGCAGTTGGTAGAACTGTTGCCTCGCAGCAAGAAGGTTGCGGTTCGCATCCCCCGCGGCAGAATCTTTCTGTTCTCCCCGTGCAGCGTGGGTTCTCTCCGGGTTCTCCGGCTTCCTCCCACACAGTCCAAAAACATGGTTAATTGGTGATTCTAAATTGTCCGTAGGTGTGAATGTGAGTGTGCTTGGTTGTTTGTCTCTAAGTGTAGCCCTGTGATAGACTGGTGACCTGTCCAGGGTGTCCCCTGCCTTCACCCTGAATCAGCTGGGATAGGCTCCAGGCCCCCGCGACCCCAGTGAGGATTAAGCGGTGTATAGATGATGGATGGATAATGGACTGCCTAAATGTTTGTATCATCAGCTCATGAATGTACGGAAAAAAAAAAGCTGCAATATGTCTTTTTCAAAACATCAAGTTTTGAAAAAGAAACATCAAGATGTGCAATGTTTCTTGGAAACATCAAGATTAAGTTGGCTTTTTGTGATGCCCAACATGTTGAGAAGGACACAGTGCTCTTATTGTGAAGGATCGCTCGTCGCGGTATTCGGCGTTGCTGCGGCTGCTTGACGACGTCATCATCACTGCGCATCGGCCCCGTTCGTCTGTGACGTCAGAGCCACGCTCAGTGACAAGCGTGTTTATCATTCCTGCGATCATCACACTGAACGTACTTTACCTCGTTCTCTGTGTGTCAGCCTGAACTCTGCTCACATAGGAGGGTTCTGTTTGGTGGAACATGAAGCTGCTGGTTATTTTCTGCCTCAGGCCACACAGAAGAACAATGGCTCATTATCAGTGTTTGTGCTTCCTTTATGGAAAAAAAGCAGTCTTTGAGGCCTCCTTCTGTTCTCACCCATCCTCAGTCACATTTTTCTTGCTGCCATATATGGAAAACAGAAAGTGCCACAATTCACCTTCGACTGCGCTTTAAATCAAAAACGACACTTTTTAACGCCATCAAAGGCCAGAAAAGGCGTTTCTCTCTACAGTGCTCTAATCACAGCACTGATTTTTACACTGCCAGAAGCAGACACAGCGTTTATCGGCTTTGTAAAGTGACTCCAA